GCTGGCCCGTGCCCCCATCTCCCAGCAGCCTGAACACTGCCTCCCTGTTAGACCTTGACAGTGGTCCCTGAACAGTCTCTCTTCACTTTCCTGATGGTCGAGTGACAGGATATGCAGGACGCTGGCCTGGCTACTGAGTGGGATATGGTTCCTGCCCTCAGGACACGCACTGGAGACAAACCTTAACGGTTATGTTTTAATGAGCTAAATCTTAACTCCCATCTGCTGGTGCACATCAGTGCTGTTGCTGCCTGCCCGTGCTGGTTAACAAAGTGTGCAAGAACTGTACACTTAGAGAAATTCCTACAGCAGTTTGACATTGCCGAGATGTTTGCACTGTATTTTACAAAAGTAGTTTATAACAGGTTGGAGGGAGAGCAACTTCACCACGGAGAGTTTGAGAAGCTGGTGTATAGATCACCATAACTTGGATGTTTTTGATAGGAACAGTTTTACATACACATTCCCCCCCCGTCATATAAACAAAAATCATATAAAGTGTTTTTTAAAATCTCATCTCATGTTATTAACTGTGAAAGTAGTATATCTTTATTGTGATAACAACTTGGAAAGTACAGAAGAGTTTTTCGTTTTTTCTTTTAAGTGATCCGTACGTCTGACATGAGCTAACTGCTGCTCACATTTTGGTGCATTTCTCTTGTCCTTTTTCCTGCTCATAGATGTAAATTTTTTCTTACATAAATGGGACATTGTACACATATTCTTTGTTTTATATATCATAAGTATTTGCATGTCATTAACATCTTTTACAAAGGACCGCTCAGGAGTCTGTCATCTAGTTGTGCCATGATTTATTTACCCTTTTCCTTTAGTCCTCTGTTACTAGCACTTGTTTTATGCCTTTGTTTGCTATTATAGTTAATGCTCTGAAAACTTTTGTTACAACGTCTTTGATAGTATCTCTGAATATTTCTTTAGAATGTATTTCCAGAAGTAGAAATACTTGGTCAAAAGATATGGCTATTTTAAGACTTTGATAAATTGCCCTTTAGAAATGTCAAAGCACATTTCAGCTACCACCAGCAGTGGGTCGGCTCCCCACACTGAGGACTCTCAGGATCAGTACTGTCAGCGTGGGGAGAATGTTGACAAAGACAAGGGCAGAAGGAATGAGTGGACCACTTGGATGGATGATGAGAGGAGAGAAGATGGTCATGGGGCATGGAAAATGGTCTGTTGGCTAAAGTATAGGATATTTTTAAGGAAATAGAAAAGACGAAAAAGTTGAGTTGGATCTGATTTGGTGGGACACTGAAAGCCAATTTAGAATGGTATTGGGGAGACTTTGTGGGTTCTGAGCAGGGAGATGAGTGCCCCAAGGCTCTGCTAGGGGAAGATGGTGGTATCCGCACAACCCATGTCATATCACCACTCATTCCCTATATGCTCCATGTCCCTTCCCACCTCCTGCCTTTGCTTGCACTGTTCCCTCTGCCTAAATGTCCTCTTTCCATAATCTATCAAAGCTCCACTCATCCATCAAAAACCATTCCCAGATTTTCTACTACGTACTTCTTGCTCCATTATGTAGAACTTACTGATGTGATATGCTGTATTACCTCTGTTATAACTATTTGGTGCACTGTTCTCTCCCACCGTATTGTAAGCTTCTAGTGACCCATTCTTTCTGTATCCTTAGGAGCTTACTGTTGTGCCTGGAATATAGTAGGTATTAATACACACTTGCCAAGGGAATTCCAAGTACTACATATGTCTCCTGTGACCTTGCACAAGTGCCCCCTAGGCCAGGAGATGTGTGCTTCAACATAATGGGATAGTGGATGTCTCAAATCATCATGTAGGGCTCCCTGAGGGCACCCTGCTGTTAACATTTCCCCTCCTTGCTCCTCCCAAAGACTTCCAGTTGCCAGCTTTCAGAGGCCACTATCCCTTAGAGTGAGTGGAGACCTTGACTCTGGAAGTGTTTGCAAATCATAGTTACTTATGAGAACTTTTACCTGAGTTTGCATCATTGTGTTAATTACAAAATCAAGAAATTTGTGACAGATTTTGGAATTGGATTCTCTGATTTGGAAGAGAGGCTGTAAGTTGTTGAGTTTTACTTTTAAAACTTAAGAACAAAACCGAAGTTCAAAGAAGACATCCATTTCCTCACTGTGCAGAACTAACCATTGTTATATGTGGGCACACTTGCTTCTAGTCTCTCTTCTGTGCGTATACTTTTATTTTTAATTGTATAAATAATATATGAATACATTGTTCTTTAGAATTATAAAATCTTACAGATAAAGCTTAAGGCTCCCTTGACTTTCATCCCCACCTCCCATAGTTTTAAGTTTTTTTGAAGTAAAGTCCTTGGTTTAAGTGAGATTTTATGTAGAAGTCCAATATCCCTCCAGTAAATATGTGAGCATCCCACGTCCATGTGTCCCATGTACTATCATGTGCTGGGGACAGCGATGAATAATGTATGTGGGGCCCCTGCCACCATGAAATAATCATATAGGATAATTTCAGACAGTGATGACTACCATGAAGAATGTCACACAGGGTGAAGGGATAGAGAGTGACTGGAGTGGGAAAGAGGACTGCTGCAGACACGCTTTTGGGGATGACCTCTCTGAGAAAGTGAAATTCAAGCTCAGGCCTTAATGAAGAGGAAAAATCAGCCATTCACAGATGTGGGCCAGAACATGCCAGTCAAGGACAAAGCTGATGCAAAGGCCCTGAGGTGGGAGCCGGCATGATCTGTGTAGCTGAAGTACAGTGACTGATACAAAGAGTGCTACATGCTGAGGTGGAGAGGCAGGTAGGGGCCAGATGGTGGAGACCCTTGGAAGCTGTTGGAGGGCCTTTGCATATTCTTGTAATTGCAGTGAGTAGCCACCGGAAGTTTCTATAAATAAGATTGATACCTAATATTTCAACATCCAAAACAGATAAAAGCAGAGCTGCTGGGTGGCTGGTCCGGTGGCGCAGCAGTTAAGTTCACATGTTCCGCTTCGGTGGCCTGGGGTTTGCGGTTTGGATCCCTGGTGCGGACATACACACTGCTTATCAAGCTATGCAGTGGCAGTCGTCCCACATATAAAGTAGAGGAAGATGGGCACAGATGTTACCTCAGGGCCAGTCTTCCTCAGCAAAAAGAGGAGGACTGGTGGCAGACATTAGCTCAGGGCTAATCTTCCTCAAAAAAAAAAAAAAAAACAAAAGCAGAGCTGCTGGAATTGAACCTGGAGTGAGAAGCTCAAATCAGCACATACTGAAAAATCTCTGATCTCTCCCCCATGTCCCATCTCACAGTAGCTGCACCTTATACCTTAGGCATTTCTAACAGGTGACTCTAGTCTGAAGAAAACAGAACCAGGGACTCCTCACCTCCATCCTATCCCAATTGCAGACGTTCAAAAGTTTGTCCTTAGGTCTCCTTAGAGCTTCCACCCCTTGGTTTTAAATTCAGCGTGGAGGGTGACACAGCTCTGCTCCTGCTTCTAGGTAGCGGCCCTGAGAGCAGTTCAAGGATAGTTGCAGGCCTCGGCCCCACCCTGGGCCTCCTCTTCCTCTCAGGAAGCTTCTGCTCTGGTCTTAGCCCTGTCTCTCAGCACACGCTGCGTTTGTCAGGATGGTGACATTCATTACATCGTCTGCTGATCTGCAATCTACTCTCTGTGAGGGTGCTCAGCAGTCACTGTAGCTTCTCCAGCAAGGTCACCTGCCCACAGCTCTGAAAAAGGAGAGTCAGGGGCCGGCCCGGTGGCACAGCAGTTAAGTGCGCATGTTCTGCTTCTCGGTGGTCCGGGGTTCGCCTGTTCAGATCCTGGGTGCAGACATGGGACTGCTTGGCAAGCCATGCTGTGGTAGGCGTCCCACATATAAAGTAGAGGAAGATGGGCACCCATGTTAGCTCAGGGTCAGTCTTCCTCAGCAAAAAGAGGAGAATTGGCAGTAGTTAACTCAGCGCTAATCTTCCTCAAAAAAAAAAGAAGAGTCATCAAGACCCAACCACATCTGCTTGCTTGCTTGCATTTTTCGAGAGAAGAGTAGGGGAGGCTTCTCGATGTGAGTCCCAGTTGCCAGTGGGATAAATGCAGACTCTGCAGGCTGATTGCAGCTCCTCCACCCCAGCCCGTCTCTCGTCTGACTCCTGGTGACCCCTCCTCGAATTCACGCCTTTGTCCCACCATCGTCCCCATGCATTTCTCCTCCTCCGCCCTTCCCATTCATGAAGGGCCAATTCACATCCCAGCATTTTTTTTTTTCTTTCAACCCTATCTCTTTTCAAAAATTGAAAATCTACAAAAGTTATTCACAAATATGTGCTCATTATAAAAAATATAGCACTAAAAGAACATTTTCTTTTTTGCCTTTTCCTAGTCTCCTTCCTCTCTCAGAGTTAGGAATTTGTGGTGGATCTTTCCGGGCCTTTGGCTATGTATTTACATGTAAACGAATTTAGGTTTTTGTGTGAGATTGTTTTAAAAAGACATTGTGGTATCATGCTATACACATTATTCTTTGACTTGCTTTTTTCACTTGACAGTATGAGTTGGAAAATTTTCTGAGGCAATGCATATACTGTAACTTAAAAAAACTATATAATCATAAAAAATGTATTTTTATGGTACGAATTCAAATTCAAAAAGATGTAAAGTGAAAAGGAATAGTTCTCCAATCCCCTGTGTTTATTTTGGACGTCACTGCTATTAACCCTTTCTTACATATATTCATAAATACATACACAGTCATGCGTCACTTAACCACGTTCTGAGAAATGCGGCTTCAGGCTGGGCTTGTACCGTTTGCTCAGTAGTTGGTCATAGGAAGCATCCAACAAGTGACAAGACATGTACTCTCTGCCCCACTGGCTTCCAGACCCTCTTGGGGTTGTCCTCTCTATGCCCTGCAGGGTACTGACATTGCCTTCAGCGCAGGGCGCTTTTTTTTGAATTGATGTGACTTAAAAAAAATTCTTTTAATCGTTTTTGCACACTTAACCATGTCATGTTCTCTTTCTGCAGACTTTAGTCACTCCAAGAAATAGAACAGAGTTCAGCCATGGCCCCAAGGAAGAGAGGTGGACGGGGGATTTCATTCATCTTTTGCTGTTTCCGAAATAATGATCACCCAGAAATCACATATCGGCTGCGAAACGATAGCAACTTTGCGCTTCAGACCATGGAGCCAGCATTGCCCATGCCCCCTGTGGAGGAGCTGGACGTCATGTTCAGTGAGCTGGTGGTGAGTCCCAGACTTCCATCCTGGTGGTGCTTGGGGGCCGGGAGGGAGAGGGGAGGACGTGGATGATTTGCTTTGGTCAGCCGTGGGCTTGTCCTTCTTCAGTGAGATGGCCCCATCTGTCCCTTATACCTGCCCCCCCACTGTCAGCACCGAGCTGGGGAGAAGGAGACGGAAGAGCGTAGGGTAGCATTACGATGTCACAGGGCTTTGCTGGTGCTCTAAGTGGAGGGATTCAGACCTTTAGGTCTTCAAATGTGGCAGTCCTGCACCGAAGCTGCCCTTTCTAATTTCTCCCCATCCCAACCTGACTTTATGCCCGTGTGCATAGATGATTCCCTCATCTGCTTCACACCTCCTGGGATTCCCCACTGCTTCCTCCACCCCTGGGCCCAGTGTAGTCTTTTTAAAAATTAGTCACACTGCCCTTTCTGTCCTTGATTCTTTGATGAAAGACATTATTACTTCAGTACAGTATAATTATTTATCCTAATGATAGGATTGCAATAATAATGTTGTGGGAAACTTTTTATAGATGCTATCATACTTTAGATTCCACTATACTGAAGTGAGAGAGAGATCTGGTGTAGGACCCAGTCATCAGGAGATGTAAGTGCTCTCTTCAACTTAGCTTTTCAATCCTCTCCGAAGTAGTGTTTCTTTCCATTCTTAGGCTGTTACAGCATAGTTTAAAGGACACTGGCATGGGGATTAGGAAGACTTTAGTTCAAATTACTGTTCTGTCTTTATTATCTATGTAGATAGGGGAAAAGTATATGGCTTTTCTGAGCCTGTTTTCTGGAAAGGGGAGAAAAAATAATTCCTCCTCCTAGTTTGATGTAATGTTCAAATGAGAATAATACATACCGAGAATGGCCCAATGCCTGGCCCTTATTAGGTGCTCATTAAGTGTTCCATGAGTACTCTGTCCTCCCTTGATCACCACTGGCATTTTCTAATGGAGTCAGTTCTAATCAGACCATTTCTGTAGCTCAACAGATACTAGAGAGTGCTATCGTTTTGCATGACTCTCAGGTCAAGAAAGTAATGTAGGCTGTGTCACCCTCCAAGGGTAACATCTGAACTGATGGTGTCACTCCAGCTCTGCTAGACCAGAAGTCACTTGTAAGCCTATCTTATAAGATAAGCCAGTATGACAGAGTACTATGAAGCTGATATTTGAGTTCTGGTCTCCTGAGTGGATTAATGGGCCTGTTACCAAGCAGAATTAGTTAGGAAAAAGAAGAGGTGACTCTTGGCGCAATGATTATGCTTTATGATGTTGAATATTGTCAGTGTTTAAGGAATCGTTACCCTCTTCCATCTCCACTGCATGCAGAACTCTGTTCTAAGCATTAATGAGGAGATTCGGAATAGCAAACTAGAACCTGCTCCCAAAGAGCTGACAGCTTCAGTAGCAAAAGGGGACCGATAAAGGGATAATGCCACCACAGGAAGAAGCACAGGCCGCCTCTGCAGAGACTGTGTGTAAATGTGTTGTGGGGCGTAGGACACAGCCATGAGGAGGGTGGCCAGGGAAGACTTTCTGGAGACGGTGAGTTGTGAGGAGCAACTGAAGGTGAGAAAAGAACTGGAGGGGATCCACGTTAATGGCCATCTCAGTCATCTGAAGCTAGTTTATCCTACGATAGCAAAACCTCAGTGGTTACAACAGCAGAGTGACCTTTTGCAAATGCTGTATGTCCACTATGGGTCAGTTGTCGTTCTGCTCCTTGCCTTCTATCTAAGACTCAGGCCTGATGGAAGAGGAGAGTCATGGCGAACTGCCAGCAGGCTCTAAGCTTCTGCTTGGAAATGTCACTTCTGGCCACATTTCATTGGCCAATGCAAGTCACATGGCCACTCCTGAATTCACAGGGTAAGGATGTATCATTCTTCTGTAGAGACTGGCAGCACAAGTCACCTGACCAAGCCTGAGGTCATTGGAGGGGGTAGAAGACCTCTCCCAGGGAGGGGCAGTGAATCATCTTCCATGATGGTTTCAGGAAGGGCAATAGTCATGCTTTGACAGGCTTCATTTTATTTCCCACTTAAGTATTTTAAAACCAAAAGTCAACCTAAGGAGACAGATATTGCTGATAAGTGAAGGCCTCCTTGGTGGTAGTGGTGCTGACGGGCAGAGCTGTACCCTCAAAGCATCCACATCCACTGTCCTTTCAGTTGTGTTCTGTCAGACTCCCCACATGGGATCTAAGCCAGAGCCTGTGTGGTGGCAGCTCTGTGTACATCTTGAAGACAGCTCATTGTTCTGGATTCATAAGGGAGAAAATTCCACTCTGCCTTCTTGATGTCTTTATTCTGTGTGAAAATTGCCTGCAGCTGTTAGTTGTTAAAACACTGATGCCAAACCAGAACTTTAAGCTGAAACCATTGGAAAACAAATTACGTTGAGGTTTCTATCTGTCCTGGTGAGTAACGGATGGATTTCTGTCTACTCCTGACTTCGGGGACTTGGACCACAAATCCACCCAACTGTCAGGGATGTCCTGGGGCAAGGGAGGTGGGCTCAGAGCCACTGGAAACCTCTGCCCTGGTTCTCTGGAGGAGTCACAGAAGCAGTTCTGCCTCTGCCTGCACACAGGAGAGGGAGGCCACATGGAAGGCGGAGAGGGCGTGGCCTCCAGAGTCAGACCACTTTGAAACCTAGGATAACTTCCTTTAAGATGGTTTCTGTTGGAATTTGAGTTTATTTCCTTGCCTATAAAATAGAAATCATACTGTCTCTCTGAATGGCTTCTTTAAAAAGGCTGGCACCTAGTAGGTGCTTTACACCGCACATCCTAGTGCAGTGAGAAGGATGGTAGATAATTCAGGTGTTTTCTGGGCACAACACCCTAAGCAGATATCCTAGCTTTTTTCGTTTTCTTGAAAGCTAATCTGCCTGCTGTGAGTGAGCCAGTGTGGGTCCTCACCTGCAGCTTGTTTTACCTCCGTATCTGTTGGAAAGCATCTCATCAGAGCCGGTTGTTGTAGGCTGGTTTCCTTGGCCTCTCCGGATGACTCACTCATTTGATGTTTTTAGAAGTGATACCAAATAGGTTTCTTGCAGAAGTGCTTACTGCAGACTTACCATCTCATAAATAAAGCAAGCCCGGATGGGAGGTCAGCCGCGTGAGTCTTTAAAGAAGGTGGGCGCAATGTATGCCTTGTTCTCCAACAGGCTCCCTGCCACCGGCAGTGGAATCAGACTCATTCCAGTTTCAGGATGTAGTGGTTTCTGGGGGTCCTAGTTCCACACCCAGCCTATTTTTTTTGTTTAATAGCAGCTTTATTGAGATACTGTTCCATACCGTATAATCCACTATTTAAAGTATACCAACCAGTGGCTTTTAGTATATTCACAGAGTTGTGTAACCATCACTGCAATAAATTTTAGAACATTTTCATCACCCCCAAAGGCAACTCCCTTACCCATTAACTGTGACTCCTCATTTCTTCCCAACCCTCCCATCCCTTGGCAACCACTAATCTACTCTCTGTTTCTGTGAATTTGCCTATTCTGGGCATTTCATATAAATGGAATCATATAATATGTAGTCCTTTGTGACTGGCTTCTTAGCATAATCTTTTCAAGGTTTTATCCATATTGTAGCAGGTATCAGTACTTCATTTCTTTTTTTGCTGAATAATATTCCATTGTATGGACATACCACTTTTTGTTTATCCATTGATCATTGATGGACATTTGGGTTGTTGCGAGTCTTTAGCTATTATGAATAATGCTGCTATAAACATTCATATACAAGTTTTTGCACGGAAATATATTTTCAGTTCTCATGGGTATACCTAAGAGTTGCACGTCTGGGTCATACAGTGACACTATATTTAACATTTGAGGAATTGCCAGACTGTTTTCCAAAGTGGCACCATTTTAGATTCCCACCAGCAGTGTGTGATGGTTCCAGTTTCACCACATCTTTGCCAACACTTGTTATTATTTACTCCCTACTGATTGACCAGCTGCTTTTAAAGCTGTTCTATAGCTCCTGGAGAACTGAAGACATGTAACTTGAGATTTTTTTTTTTTTTTTGTGAATTACCAAATAGAGTCTCCCTGCTAACAATTTTTAACTGATTTGGGACACTTAAAAATAAAATATTAAGTTGAGAGTTTGTGTAATCTCTGCTAACCAGATATTTTATGCCTTTTGAGCCTCTATCCTTTTTCTTATATTATCTCCCCCACCTCCCCTCTCCACTTCTTCTGCTTTGTCCTCTGCCTCAGCCACAAATCAAGAACATAACCAATCTGAGGCTTAGCACGTTCCCATAAAATAAGATTCAGCTGTAGTCTTGTCTTTTCTACAGGCTTTTAAAGGTCTTAGATTATCCCCACCGACCTACTTGAAGAGGAGGCATGACAACTCTCTAAGTTGTCCTTGTCCAAGTAACTTTTCCATCTCAGTGTTAGCAGTGGAAGGTTTCCTTTGAGATGAACAGAGGAATGCGTCATTAATTGACTAATTCTTTCAAGGTGTGTGCGTATGTGGTAGGTGCCTGCTCTGTGCCCTGAGGTCACTGGTGAGCAAAACAGCCACGGTCCTTAATGACTGTGGGGCGGAAGGTCTGGCGGGGGAAACAGGCAGCTAGCACGCCGTCTTACGCAGTGTGACCGAGGGCTGCTCCAGCAGTACATTGTGTTGGGGAAGATCCTTTATTGCCCTTTTTTCACCAGGAGGGAGTTCCATTCAGAGGTTCCATTTATGTCGCCCTTAGCTCTCTTGCCCAGTAGTGACATTCCCGGCTTCTCTTCCCATTCCTCTTTGGGATATGCAAAGCTCAATCTCTCTCCCTTTCTCTATTTCTCTGCAAATCAACCTGCTTTCAGAAAACGCACATTCTGTGACCCTTGGTGCTATAAATTTCATAGGAATGAGCCCTCTTGGGGAGTTCTGCACCTGTCCAGCTGTCTCTGACTGATGGGTAGGTATCTAATTCAGCTCTGAAATCTCAGCAAGCCCTCTTGTCTGCAGATGAAAGTG